AGAGTAAAGAATGCCTAGCGACCTTCCCAACAACCCACTACTTATCTTGTATATCTTTAAGCCTTAATTTATGTGCATCTGTTAGAGCCTGAAATACCAGACTGTAGTATTTTTATAATTGTTTAGTGGCCAGTACTGATTTTCACATTGCGATAAATAATTGAAAATTTTATGGCACACATATATGTAGATATTTATATATCTTATAGCATTTTTAGGCCTCTTTGTGTTTTAACAAGTAATTATCCCATTTCTTGGAATACAAAATAAATTACAAATGGAAGTGTCTTCTCTCTTTCTCCCAGGGCCAGCACTTACAAGGTGCTTTGGTTGTTAGTAGTGTGGATCTCTTTAAAGAATCAGCTAGTTTCAAATCTGACTATGAATTCTGGCTGAAAATACAGCCAAAATGTATTAATGGGAATAATCTTTTTCCTTAAAAGATTTTTTCTAAAGTGGATGATGAATTTAAAAATGAAATAGGCACAGTGATTATAAAAGTTTACAGAAAATGAATACTGTTTTGTTTATTTTAGCTCTGTTTGCAGTCCCTAAAAATTATAAACTGGTAGCTGCACCGTTGTTCGAGTTGTATGACAATGCGCCAGGATATGGACCCATCATATCTAGTCTCCCTCAGCTGTTGAGCAGGTATGGAAAATTGAACATTTGGGATTCATTCATAAACTGTCAGATTTAAAATATTCTGAGCCAGAAGGATAGTTCATGGATTTGGGTCCTTAAGGAAACTGAGACAGTAGATGGACTGTTAGGTCATGTGCAAGCCATAGGTTAAATATGGTTTCTGAAAAGTAACTCCAGACTCTTAAATTACAGTAAAATATTCTGGTATTTGTGTAACTGTTCTTCAAATCTGATACTCTCTTAAGTTGAAGTCTATTCAAAGAAGAGGTGGTAAATATTAGTCAACTATGTATAAATCTGAGGAGAGTTGTCTAAATAAAAATGTGGGTAATTGAATCTCTTGGTATAATACGTTCTTTTTCCTTTTTTGCACTTAACTGTATTTAGGCCCAAATTGAGGCATGTGGAGTTAAGTCCTGAATTTTTACATGGAATTTGAAATTTTAGAAATCTAGGGTGATAAGAAGTAGTTTTAAAATAAGTTGACTTGTAGTGGTTGAAGTCATTAGATCCCCTCCTAGACAGCAGTCACTGAGTAACATGGTTAAGAATGTAGATTTGGTTTTCATTTGAGTCCCACCTTCAGTACATGGTAGCAGTGTGGCCTTGGTCAGTCTTATACTGCTATGCCTGCTTAGTCATCTGCAAATGGAGATGGCAGTCCCTACTGCATAGGATTGTGGGGACCAAGCGAAACAATGCTTATGAAGTGCCTAGAATAGACGCAGGTACCTGGTAAGTACTTATAAATGTTAGTTTGAAACAGTCCCAGTAGAGATTTCACCTTTTATGAAAGATTGTTGAAATCAAACTTAATCTTTTGCTCATCCAGTTTGACTGCCTGATAGGCTACAAACTGATATACGGTATATGAGGAAAAAATATCATACTATTCATTTATTTAAATATCTAGCTGTCAGGTGCAGGAACTGTGCAGAGTGGTCATAATGCAAGTATAAATATTTTTCGTGCCTTCAAGGGACCTAATAGAGAATAATTAATCAAGTTTATACTCTTAATTTGTTTTCCAGGTTTTTTGCTATAGGGCGTGTATGTGAGACAGAGACAGGAGAGGGAATGTGGGAAATCACCTTTTAGGGAGATGGTCATGCTGCAGTCCCTTGCCAAACATGTCAAATGGGAGAGTAGAAATATCAAGGTGAAAGCTCCTTTTCATATAAGGTGGAAACAGTGTAAATAATAATTTTTTTTTTTTTGATTCAGGTTTAACTTTATATACAACTGAATTTCCGCGCAGTGGAAAAATGAAGCCGTCTCTGTGAGCACAGCTATACACAGTGTAGTGGAATAAACGTGGTAGAAAAGTTTTTTTGTTTTTACCTCTTTCCTGATCCCTAAATTGCCACCTAATTTTTACCGTTTGAATAGTAAAGTTAATATGAAGAACCAGGTAGTGGTGCAAGCAAATGTGGTCATCTTTTATTTACTTAGGGTTCTACTCATTTTTTTGTACAATATTAAAGAAAGCAGACTCCTATTTGTAATTTTTATTTTTAATTTCTCATTAAACTTTAAAAAAATCTTATAGATGAGGATCTCTTTTTTCCCTCCCCCTGAAGCTGGTGCACATTACGATTCAGTGGCAGGTTTAGGTTAGTCCAAGTGATGGAACCCTTGCTCTGATGCCATTCTTAGGCACATACTCTAAGACTGTGTTACAGATCTTTGTGGTACTTTGGGGGACAAGATTTGTCTGTTGGAGTTCAAGGTGTAACTTCTGTACCACATTTTCCACTCTACTGAGGATATTACAGAGAATTCCTTATACATTTTATAATCATCCAGACCTTAGCAAGCAATGGCCCTTAAACATACGAGAAACCCCTGTAAGTGGGTAGATTGGCAAAGTCATGCGAATTGATATAAGAAGAGACCCATGTAGAGCGCCTTTAAATTTTTTTTCAAAATAATGAAAATATTATTTGTGCTATTGTGAAATGATAATCGTAGGTTATTCTTAGCTCTATGGTAAAAAAAAGTGACCTGTAAAGGGAAGTTCTGAAAGTTGGTATATTAGGTTTTGAATACATAGATTGCAAAGTTATTTCAGTTAACTTGAAATTATATCCATAGAGATAAAAGTTTGGTTTTAGCAAGCAACGAAGCTTTTAGAAAATATTTTGGAATAATTTGAATTAGCTGAAATTTAAGGAGAAGGGGACAGATTTTTATCAATCTAAGAGAAAAATAACAGATTGTGGAAACTTTTTTCAAAAGATGCCACATTAGGATTGAATTTTGGTGAATAAAAATAACTTTAAGGCAAAGAGTTTGCAGTCATATCATTGTTTAGTGGTCAGAGTATATTTTGTATGCCTTTTTATAGATTTGACTCTAGGGTTAATAGAAAAGAAATCTTGGAAGATGTAGCTAAGTCAAAAAGTTGGGTATGATTTTTAGCAGACCAAAATGACTCTGATTAATTCTTAAAATTTTTAAAGAATTATTTTATTCAATTTTATTCATTGTCATATTTTATTTCTTAAAAGTTGACAAGAGGGACCAGCAGTTAGTGTAATGGCTATGTCGCTGGACTCCCATGTAGTTGACTGTGGTTCGATTCTCGGACCTGGTGGCTTAAACTCATGCCGAGTGCATGTGTGTGCATGCCTCAGATCCCGAGAGGAGAAAGGAGGAGAAGGGATTGTGGCATAGCCATCCCCCTGAGGAGTGATTTCTTGCTTTCTGTCTCTCTATCCCTCTCTTGTCTTAAGTGCCACTTTTCTTTTAAGAAAAACCCTTTAAAAAAAAAAAAAAAAAGAAAGAAAAGTTGACCAGATACAGATAGAGAGAGAGGTAAAATTGAAAAAGCAAGTTGCCAGGTCCAGGACTTGAACTGTGGTCAGCCATGTGGGCATCCAGCCACCTCAACCACCATACCACCTTGCCAGCCCCAGTTCTTACGTTTTTATGGCATTGATCACAGGACTGTTCTGTACATTTGGTGATGCCGATGTTATATATTTTTCCCTGTTTAGACTTACGAAAGTCCAAAAAGGGGGGCACAATTACATTTATAAAGATTCGAGTTTTAGTTGGGAATCACATGGAGCCTTGATATGGTTGTGAAGTAGTGACTATAACTGTTTATGCTTAGTAGCAGGTGAGGACTCATTTCCTTTACCAAAAATGACCAGAGATTTCTTTTGATAAAGCTGGTAGTTCTGGGAATAGTCCTTTCTTCAAGAACTAACAATCCTGGCCCTCTGGTTTATATTAGCATGTTTCCAGTTTAGTACACTGGTTTTCTTTTCTTTTTTTAATTACCAGATTGCACATGTGCCACCAGAGAGTGAGAGAGTGCACCCCATAGTGGGTTGTGGTCATGCTGCAATTTCCCTTCCCCCGTTTCTCCATCCTGTCAAGATTTTGGGCATGTTGGCCATGTGGGATCTGGTTCTCTTAACCACTAGGCTACAGGGTCAGCCGCTAATTTAGTGTAGTTTTACTGGTAAATTTCGTGATTAGCTAACTCCTTCAGTAAATCCTTGACATCCAGGAACAGGTCTGTCAGATCAGGGTAGGGGAGAGATGGAGATGGGGTGATCCACCTCACCTTCCATGATTCTGATCTGAATGAAAAGGTTCAGCAACCACACCTCAGATGTTAACTTTTGTAATTTTGGAGGTGGGGAGCTGTGGACCTTCTCTTGGTTTGATTTATAAAGTGCTATCAGTAAGGAGAAGGAGTTAAAGAGGCATTTGAGGGGCCAGCAGATAGCCTGGTGGTTAAGGTGCTGGACTCCCACATGGTTGACCATAGTTTGAGTCCTGGACCTGACAGTTTGCCATCTAACTTTCCCTCTCTCTCTCTGGTCAAATTAAAAACAATAGCAATAAATAAAATACAATAAAATAAATTATTCTTTAAAGAAAAAAGACATTTGGTTCAAGGCTACTCAACATCCTTTGTAACTCAAGCTTTGACCTAGAAATTCTTTCTTGGTTGCTTCCTCTGTATGTGTTGAATCAGTCATCCTATCACTGGACCCTAGATGAAAAAACTTTTGATTTAGGTTGGCTAGATTGCTAACCTTGGGATATAAGAGTTGTGGTTTTGAATGTAAAATTTGTATAGTAAACATTGAATTAAAAAAAAATTTTTTTAAGTTTTGCTGTAGGGTGCACGCTCTCGCCAGAGAGAGACAGAGAGAGAGAAGATGAGAAATCACCCACTCTGGTGGAAAGGCCACGCCACAATCCCTTCTCTTCCAGTCTCCTCTCAGGATTTTGTGCACGCATGCACTTGCATGTTTTCTTTTTTCCAAGTCACTGGTTCTGGGACTCAAACCATGCAGTCAGCCGTGTGGAAACCTGCAGCGTTAGCCATCATGCCTCTTGCTGGCCCCAAACACAGATTTTTAAAACCACTTTTGCTCTGGTGAGTTATAATTGAATCCCAATACTTTATTTTAGGTAAATTTCAAGATGGAAGTAGCAGAACTCGGTATTGAAATCTGGTCTGATCTTACAACATTAAAAGAGGGTGGAAGGGCACTGTTTAATAGTAAGCTCTCATATGTAAGTTCTTACTGTATTTCTTCAATAACTGAGGATCTTAAATTGTGCAGTCCAGCGATTTGCATACTAAATATTGAAGTTTTAAAATGAGTTCTTGACAACAGATCTGTGTTTTTGAGGTCCTCCTGTGTTCCACATTTGTCTAAAAATGAAAGTCCTCTTTTGCATTTTATAACTTCGATGTATTTCATTTTACTTTCCCTGTATAATCCAAGTAGTATATATCCTATGTAAAATTACTAAATGGCACCGAAGAATATTTGATCGATTAAGGGTAAAAAAAACTAAAAAGTTTGACTTGACGATTGTCATATTTAGATTGATTTACACTTTGGAGAAAAATGAGATTTTTTTTTTCCACCAAATAGTGAAGACCATTGTTATTTTTTTTTAAAAAAAGATGACTTTTAAAATGGCATTGTAATTCCGTATTTGAATTTGTACTATTAACAGCATATTTAGATTATATTTTTACTATTTATCATGGTCTTACCTTGTAGCTAGTGATAGTGTTCTGTTATTTTTTTGGATATTTAAAGGTTCCACTAAGTTAGCATGGTGCTCGGATAAAAAGGAATCAAATTAGCCAGTTTCTTTTATTGTTTAATTAGAAGAGAGAACTTTCAAATTCAGCAGGCAGCCTTTTAAAATTCTTTCTAAATGATGTGACTCTTAACACTCTTTAGCTTTTTAATGGTTTATTTATGGATTTTTTGTTTTGTTTTGTTTTAGTTTTTTTTTTAGTTTTTTGCCATAGGGTGTGTAAACCCCAGAGAGAGACAAAGAGCGGGAAAGTGAGATATCGCCCCACAAGAGGGATAGCCACACAGCAGTCCTTTCTCCATTCTCCTCTCAGGATTTTGGGCTTGTATACACACACATTGTGCATGATTTTCAACCAGTGGGTCTGGGACTTGAACTGAGTCCAGCGCCTTAGCCACCATTCCACTGCTGTCCCTTAATTGGTTTATTTTCTAAAGTGTCTTCTCAGTCACTTGAGATGAAATCCTTAATTTTCCACATTTGAGTTTCTCAAACTTAATGTTTTTACCAAGCTCACAGTATTCTGGACAGTATTTGCCGGTCACTAAGACTGCTTCAGAGTTTGCAATTTTGTATGTTGCATTGCAAATAAGGCTTAGTGGTTTTTGACTATAATACATGTCAGCTTTTGTAGCATAAGATCTGATTGTCCCACACATATTCCACTTGTTTTACATCACTTATTTGGATTAAACTGGACTCATTTCTGGCTGTTTGCCTTTGTTGTTTAAATATGTGATGAAAAACACAATACTGTTAATTGACTTGAGCCATCAAACATATTTTAATATTAGCTTGTGTACAATTATTAAGCTGTTTTTGTGAAAGCAAAACTTACTAAAACTTAGATAAGTAATTAAGCCAGTTTAGGTGTATTTTGTATTGTAGTGAATCTCTAATAAGAATATAGATAATTTGGGAGAATTTATTGATTATGCCCTTCTGTTGAGGGAAAGATCAGTGTATTTAAAACTTTTGATTAACGTGTTCATAGTGTATGAGCGTCATTTATAGTTTGGCTTTGACAACTTTTTTGGTGTTAAGTTTCTAGAAAATGTATAAAAGTAACTGTTTGATGTTTTGGTTCTATTTTTGTATTTGTAAAGTAAGAGTTTGATTAAAATGGTCACTTCTTTTTGTATTTTATGTTGTCATTTCAATAAAAAAACACTTAAAACAGAATGACTCTGATTGTTTTGTGATAGTCCCGTGTGTGGCTCCTAACCTTAGTGTGACAAAGGAAATCCTGCAGTTCTTTTTCAGTGTCAGTAGCTGGGGGCCATTGGGTAAGAATCAGCTTGGCATCATAGCTAGGGCCTTCTCGTTGGTCTTTTCCATTGTAGGTCTGCAGTATTTGGAGCAGATCCAGTTTCCTACAACATAAGGGTCACTAGATTTGGAACCTGGAAACTGGGATTTATTGGGTTGTTGGAAGAGTCATGACTTTTTTTTTTTTGGAGAGA